TGGAAAACACTGTTCAAAAAGATGTTTGACGCCACAATTGACTCCGATCATTTAGTTAGATGGCATTCACTGCAGTTTGAATACGAATGTGTTAGAAAAATGAGSTAAAAAGTAGAGTGGAAACGTGCAGTAAGCTAAATAAATAAGTAATATGCCCGCCAAGAAGATGCAATTAGTTTACACATGCATCAGTCAGTTTCGTTCTTTGGAACAACATGAATTATGTCCTAGAGATTTAAACTACTGACAAAGTAGCATATACGTAGATATCCGTGATCAGTAAACTGAATAGGAAAATAAGCCCAGAGAAGAAATGTAAGAGAGAAGCGTTAAAATTGCAGATATTACAAAGTTATAGTTTTATGCAAGGATGTGTTCGAAAAWGTACGGTCAGTAGATCAGTTAAAACACATCAAACAAGTTAGAAAAATCGCAAGAGAAAATAAAATAATACAAGCAGTTTTCAACGCAGAAATATTCTAAAAAAATACAAATCAGAATAGTGTAGATAAAATAGTAGTTGCAGTGTCGTTAAGTTTCATTTCGACTAGAGAATATCCTCAAAACTGAAAATGCGTCTATAACCACTTAGAAAAAAATCCCAAGAGGAAACAGAAGAAAAATAAGCTATTTTCAACACAAGAGTATGCTAAAAAATACAAAACAGTTTAGTGTAGTTGAAATAGTATTTCGGGTTTTTTTTCAAGAATGTGCAAAAAAAGTTACGGCAATAATTAAAACACGTCTATATGACTACTTAGAGAAAAAAGTCCCAAGAAGAAACAGAAGTAAAATAAGCAATTTTCAACACAAGAGTATGCTAAAAAAAATACAAAAGTGGTGTAGATTAACGTCTAAGTTAATAAGAAAATTTCAATGGAAGTGAACTGAATATTTACGTTTGTGGTACTGACCTCGAGCTCATTTTCTGCATCAAGTTTAACTTCTTGAAACCTTAGTTTCAAAGCACTGGGGATTTCTCTGTGGAAACATAATTAATAKCGTGAAAACTTATCTTAAAAGTAGATGTGTATTTTGCCGAATATTTGGGCTTATTTTTAGCAGTTCTACTAAAAACCCGACAAAGATTAGCGCGTAGATTAACAAGGTTTTCAGAGTCGTACAGTCGAGGTGAGGATACGGGAAACAAGTCTTCTACAAAGGTCGTGATTTATGCGYAGACATGAATTCTCGTTTCGACCGATGGAAAATGACTAAAGCTATTAAGAATTCAAGCCTTATGAGTTAATTGACTTGACTTTCTTGAATTTCTCATGGGAAATTCAAAGATTCAATTTAGAGTTAAGTTTTTGAATTGAATAAAGGAAGCAAGTTAACATAATGCATAWATTTCTGCTAGGATCTTTTATAATTCAATGAGAGAAATAATTTTGATGTTTTTTGTGACTGATTGATTGACTTTTTAGAATGGMTTCTGATTTTAACTATATTTTATCGTAGGAAACTGAACGCTATACATAAATCTAACCTAAATAATAAGAATGGCAATGGTTTATATATGCTTTAAACCAAGGGTACAAAAAGGTTCATAGATTATATGGCGGGATATACTGCACGAAAATTGAAATTATATTTTATCGTAAAAAAAGCTACATAAATCTAACCTAAACCGAAAAGGAATGGCATTGGTTTATATATGCTTTAGAAAGAAGTTCATTGATATATGGGATGTACTGCACGAAAATTGAAAGCGGAAAAACTCCCAAATTAATTCTGTTTTCTGAACACAGTTTTACACAGTTTCACAGATTTGTTAGCCACTGGCTATAAAGAGCTGCACTCGTAAAATAAGGATAATTAATGAATTTATTTTTAGTTGGTTGATCGTCTCTAAGGTCTTTCTTGGCACTGATATCCTTGATAATGAATAAACGAGCTTTGAACACTAATAATCGAGGTAGGGATTGAAATACATAGTAACATAAAAGCATTCAAACCATTAAACGACTGGGAGGGGGGGGGGGGTAGAGAAAACATGTTATGACTGACGGTCACTTGTGGTGATGATGACAGTTATGATGATAATGATGATGATGATGATGATGATGATGATGAAGTTAACGCCACTAGATGTATCGACTTAATGGTTATAACTGATGATATAGTACTATCATTATCACTGATTCTCTTGTGAAAGAAATGGTTCGAGTGTAAAACACTGAGCTATGCTCCAGTTTCGAGTTCTCTTTTGCTCAGCCTTTGCCTCAGTTGTACAGTAAAATATTCTGTCTTTCAACCAAAACCAGTGGAATTCTATTCAACTCGTATTGTTCCATATAGTTAATGAAAGAAAAGAACGCATTTGCACACTGTCGAGGCCTAAGGCTGAGCAAAGGCAAAGTGGGAGTACTAAAAACAAAAGCAAAGTACGAAAACACAAAATACAAGCAAACAAAAACAAAACAGTAACAACAGCAACAGCAATAAAATCAATATAGAAATCAGTACTCCTACTATTAGCTATAACAACTATATTATACCAATACTGCACACTCTTACTATTATGACTACCGATTATGTACCAAAGAGCAATAAGATTTAACATAAAAAATTACAAAAAAAATAATAAAAAATTAGGTATCGTCATAAGATAAAATAAAACAATATTAACGCTATACTATAGAATTATGATAAAAGCGATAATGAAGAGAATGAAAGTTAGGAATTTAATATACTCGAAAATTYTTATTTTTTTCTAAGAAGAATCTCGATTGGTATGCAAGCTAAAATGATTTGGTACTGTGTCTTCATAACTATAAACAGAGCATTAAGTATCGTCTCGTAATGTCTCAGCTGATATCAAAAGACAAGTAAATACTTCCTAAGAGTAGATATTGTCCCCCAAGGCGGAATTTCTTAACTCAGTTGGTGTTCAGTCGTACGCTAGGGTCATTACTCATCCAACCCTTGCAGTAATGACCTACCAATTCAAAGAGGCCTAGATTTCTCAAGTTGTGAGAGACCCTAAAAGGTAATTCATAAAGCAGAATTAAACCAATACTTGTACAAGGACAGGAATAACTCGAAAAGCAGTCAAGTTTGATTAATTTTTTTAGTCCAATACTCCATGGTTGCACTCCTTTTATAGTAAGTGTTAGTAAGGATTAAGACTGTATTTACCYCGAAGCATTAAAATGAGTCTTGACTTGCCGCATTTGATAGTAATACATTTTTCTTCCGTTTTATTTGAATCTTTTTGTACTGAAAAGGAGCTATTTATAGTCGTTATTTCAGTTTTAAACCTTTTTTTAAAAAAAAACAAAAACAATCTAAGTTTACGATCCTCTTAGATTATATTTTCTTCTCAAACTTTTCTTCTTAATGTCATTTTATTATTTGAACATATATAATTATAGCATTACACTCAAAACCGGAATATTACACTACATTAGATTTAACATTTAGAAACATAAATCTCTATCATTAACTTATTCTATTAAACTATTACTATAAGATCTAAAAATCATAAAAAATCTCAGTAAAAAAATTCATGGCGCTCAGTTTTCTGGTATTGCGAAAAATTTAGTTTTCCGCGACTTACAAAATAAAGGGCTTCAAAAAATATTCCACAGAATTTGATACTTGAGTTTCTCGATATCAAAAGCTATTATTTTCTAGATCACTCACTTTAATAAAGTAAAATTTTAATGACTGTTTGTAATTGAAGAATGAAGTTGGATCACTTGAATGAGTACGTAACAATTTGTATCATTRCAAATTTTGATCAACTTTTACACAAATCCCGGGGTCTTATTTTGATTTTGAATGCTGTTATATTGCATTTAATCAAAACGTCAAGAAAAATAGGATATATTGATATATACATTGGTCCTGTAAAATATTAGAATTTAAAAAATAGTAACTTGGCAATCACAGTTTAATATCGGAAAAATTTGCTTWGTGAAAATATTCGTTTTCATAACACAAGGGTTTGGAAAGGGATATATTCTGGTAAGAAAATCAGTATTTTGTTGATGTTGCTTTTGAACTGAAAAGAAACCTTACCAGGACGAACCATTTTTCATACATATTTTTAAAGCCTATAATAAAGGCTCTTTTTTTTTTTTTTTTTTTTTTTTTTTTTTTTTTTTNTTTTTTTTTTTTTTTTTTTTTTTTTTGCTATTTTATTTACTCGGAGAGGCTGTCTCTCGATCTCCTGATGAAGTAAAATCGTAATAAACCAATGTTGCGCGAAAATTGTCCAGCCCCGGCTCACTGGAGACAATGTCATTAAGTTCCTAAGACCCAAATGCGAACCTTCCTTAAAGAACCAGGATTTTTTTATTGTTAGCAGATTTAAAATCATCTGTGAAAAATCTTAAACTACACTGAGTGATCACTACCTCAAATCTGTACGCTCTTGTCATGATCCCCTATACAYCCACTAACACCAACAAGAACCTACAACACAGAAATCCTTTTAGATAATTATTTAAAGACATTATTTCGAGTTCGATGGAAAGAATTTTGAAATTTCTTAGGTCAGATTGAGATGTCTGAATGAATTTTTTCCTGAAGGAAAATCTGAAGAAATCTAGACATATGATAGTGAACGATTTAAACGGCCCAAGTGACAGAGTGTTTTTTTTGAGGTGACCATTTTCACGTCTGTTTTATTCCCACAGCCATTATTCGATTAGCTTTTGTTTAGGACTGAATTACTAGGCGTTGGGTTCCCTTCTATGACAATATAAAGTGTCCCTTTGAGTTCGTTATCTGAAATCGTTTTTCTCTGGGAAATATTAATATGCAAACAGTTGGAGGAATTCGTGGGCTTTTGAATCAGAGCTCATGGCAATTGTTCGTTTTCAATTGGTTTTCTACTATACGCGCTCTACATCCTGTAGCGAGCAGCCATCAGATTAGAATCGAGTCAGAAAAAACTTGAGAACCGAAAACAACAGGCTAGGTTTTCAATTGTTATTTTTTTGATATTTTTCAAGAACGTAACTTTAATATCCGAGTAATTTTAACTTCTTCTAGATCTTCAGTCGTCAACAGAAATGAATATTCATTTTTTCTTCCAAACCGTAAGAATTTATCTGAGTCTGATGAAAAAAGGTTGTAAAAATACAAGGGTTGAATCGTCATGGTTGAGATGGAGTACAGCATCCTTCAAGTCTTGATGGCAAGGATCGATCATTTATTTCGATTTCCGCTTTCTCAAAGACCACGTTCTGAACGCTTTTACAAAGCTTTAGGAGTAAAAGCCGCTATCACGCTTAAAACTGACGGTACGTTAGATAATACAWATGTATTAAGACTCGAACTTGGAAACTGTATCAGGCGATATCTCGTCCAATCTTGACCTTATAAATATGCACCAATCAAGAATAAGCAATCCTAGCCGTCCAAGGCACGATGGTGCCGTTTGTGATTCGTGTTTTTTCCGTTGGCATGATGGGTTAACTTAACTCTTATCTCTTATTCTCTCGCCTAAAGCGTCCGAGATACAAAAAGTTAAACATCTCGACGAAGGCTTTAAAAGACGCCGGGGCTCCTTGAAGGGACATTTCAGTTCTCCATTCATTGGATACAGGCGTGAGCTAAAACTAACTGTTTAACAAAACTGAGAGTTTTCAGTGCGTGGATATCAAACTCTGTCATTTTGTTTCCTAGTCCTACTGGATCAAACAAATTATAACTGAGAAATATCTGAGAGATTAGTCAGTGTTTCAGCAAGAAAGCCAGCATCATGCGTATGGCCTGTTCAGTACCTTATCCCAATGAGAATCCATACTCGGCATCCTACCAACAGCAAGGACATGAACCTTCCATGACGATGAGTATGTATGGTCCACAGCCAAGTACTCTACCAACAGCAGTCTCCCACTGCGGTAAAATGGAGCCTAGGTTGATGAACGTTAATGTCAGCTCTACGTTCCATGGCTTGAATGGCGTGAACTCTATTGCGCCTATGTTGACCCACGATCAGAGGGGACCCCCGCCTCCCTTACCATTGGACTTTGGTGTGGACCCCTCGAAGCTTCGAGAACTTGAAGCATTCGCGACTCAGTTTAAGCTGAGAAGAATAAAACTTGGTTACACACAGACGAACGTTGGTGCTGCTCTTGCTGCAGTTCACGGGACTGACTTTAGCCAAACTACCATCTGTCGTTTCGAAAATCTGCAGCTAAGTTTCAAGAACGCTTGCAAGTTGAAGCCCATTTTGGAGAGATGGTTGGACGAAGCTGAACGAAGTGGAGGAGCTTGTGGAGAAAAGTTTGGCTCGGAGAGAAGACGAAAAAGAAGGACGACGATAGGTCTGGCTGCTAAAGAGGCATTGGAAAACCACTTTATGAAACAAACTAAACCCTCTTCACCCGAAATTGTAAGGATCGCGGATGGGTTACGTCTTGATAAAGAAGTCGTACGGGTTTGGTTCTGTAACCGAAGACAGCGAGAAAAAAGAGTCAAGACGTCGTTAAATCTACACAACTTCCTGGGGTATAAGTCTGAATGTTAAACTCGTAAATATGGAATGGCATGAAAAGACACTTTTTAACTCCTTCTCTTCTAAGCGGATGTGAAGTCTGAATGTTGAACTCGTAAATAGTTTAAAGTCATGCAAAAACACTTTTTAACTCTTGCTCACTTCTAAGCGATCGAATAAGATACATATGCATGTATATACATAAGAAAACCGTATATTCGTATGTGACATTGATTTTCACTGCCTCGTATATATAGCTCCAGAGGATTGTTTCAGTTGTGTTGGAAATAACTTTCAAGTAGCTCTTTGAGCATATAAAGACAGTGTACTTCACTGAAGCAATGTTAGAGGAATTTTAGTTTTTTTTTAGGATTTCATTACAGCTAGAGATAGTCAACGCTCAAAATCTTGCTTAAACAATTAAGCAGTATTGAATAAATATCGATAAGGTATTAATAAACTAGCAAATTAGAAGTTATTACACAATGGCAGGTTGTCTGTAAGAGATTTTTGTAGAAGAATGTATACGGTAGTATGAATTTAACGCACTAGATATAACGGGAAATAGTTCTAGAAAATTAGAGGATTAAGATTGACTTATGCGCGAAATATTGACGATTCATTTAATGTACAATAATCTGTAATTATAAAGGAACTTTTGTTTCTGCAAACGTAACAATAATAAAACAAGAGAAAAGATACGATGATATAATTTCAATTTTCTTAAATTTCGTTGTCTTTATAATGAACTCAGTGCAAATTGGATTTTTCATTTAGACAAGATATTATCTATTTTTCCTCAAAACAATCCAGTTGTGAACCCATGGGTTTTGACAATGGACAATGAATGGCTCTCTACTCAGTTCCGCAGTTCTCTCTAAAATTAATTTCACTGCCCCCTCAAATTAAACAAAAAAGATGAAAAGAAAAAMACAGAGATAAAACGTAGAAGACTTTTTCCTGTTTTTAAAATCAAAGAAATGGAAAAAAATGAAAATAACAATAATAATATGGCTCCAGTGGCTTGCAGCGAGATAACGGCCAGCGTGAACCGGCAGTTTGAATGGCACAGCTACAATTATCTATCTTTACAGTCAATTTCAAGAAGAAATCAGTTAAACAAAGGCTCCAGCTCATACATGAATGGAATAAGACTTGAATGTGTGAATATTCAGAGTCTTCTTAGGGGTTTAGGGAGATAATGAAGTACAAATCCTTAGATTTCTGTGTAAGGTGTATCGATGTCTTCAATAGATGTACAATTAGGTTTTTTTTTCGGAAAAGAAGAAGGGRATTTCTCTGCCAAAAAAGGTAAAAGATCACCCACATGATCTAAGAGTCTTTAGCCCTCATTACCGAGGGAAAAAAGGTCAAATTATCGCTAATTTGCCCTGATATTCGTTCTCTTCATTAAAAGTACGCAAAGACAAACAGTACAGACACATCTGAACAGTTACTTTGTTTAAGTCATGGAATTGATAGCCTTAAAATACCCGACTCTCTCGTTTCTATACATATTAGATCAACCTAAATTTCTTTGTAAATAAATATGCTTTTAAATAGCTATTTATAAGGTGAACAGATTCTTTGTGTATCGACTAATTTACTTGGTAATAATAGGGGTAAATTTTTAAAAATCAAATAGTTTTAAGAAAATTTATCCGAACGGCTGTGAAAGTGAAATTCTTGCCACTTAAACAACAGTAGTACACTTTGTTGATTGAGTTGAATGAAAAGGATGATTGAAATGGTGATTTTACACTTCAATTTTATTTTCATATGCTGCGCAAGTTGCGCAAATGCTCTTCCGCAAATTCTGCATTAATAATTGAGGATGGAATTAAGAAAAGTAATACAAGAGAAACCGAAAGAAAAATTATAGGATACACCAGGTCCAAGCGAGAATTTTTTTTTTTTACTAACATAGGAAAGTAATACGCTATGTTTGACATGAGCGTCTCCAAAAATCGTTGCTATCCAGTGCGAGACAACTTTCTTCGTGTCAGTTTGCTTCGTCATGTAAGATTTCGACACAAAGAAAGATATGTACGAAGGGAAGCGACGGAACCTGAGGGGAAGTAAGGTTAACATGACTTGTCACTTTAGGCCCCATTTCTTTGACAGAAAGGTGTTATGCTAGTCTTTATCAGATTACGTCATGGTCAATAAAAAATCACCTGACGGCTTAAGAATTTCAATGAATGTTTGTAACCTGTTTATCTCTTCAACCACTTTCAATCCCCTTCATGTAACGTCCCTGTAGAACGATGGGAAGCAGGTAAAAAGACCAAATAACAAAAGTGTATAAAGAAATTAAAGTACTAATGAGAAAAACAAAATATAACGGACTTAAAAGTTTCACGGCTTAGGGGATGATTTCGCCGGAACGTGATGCGCGCTTGCCATCAAATCAAAAAATTGGCGCCAAATTTCTGCTCATCGATTTTTCACGAAAACTTAAGTTGGATTATTTTTATATTTGAAATCACAGAGAATTTAATTTCATTTGGTAAATTAAACTTATTTGCAGAYTCAAAAGGTACATTTAAATTTTCCACACAAGTAGTTTGGTTTTAATGGCAAAAGAGTGAAATCACAGCGACGTTCTTGTCCGCCACTTGTAGACAAAAGGCGGGAAAAAGAGGAAAGGCGGGGAGACTGCTTGACGAAAAGAAGTGATATGTAAGACTCAATTACCTCGCTTTTTTTGATTGCCTTTGTCTTGGTAATTAACTGGGTATCAATATTTCAATTATCTGCCGTCAAGCTCATTTTGAGAGCTATGATCAAACAAGAAAATTGTTTTTATGAAGATTACGTATGAGCGATTGAACTTTACGTAGACGCCTTTTGGAGACATCATAATGATATCAAAATTTTGGCGATACGTCCCGGCTACGGGAGCAAGAAAAACCCTTTTAAATCCACCGTTTTTGCTATCATTTCTCGAATCGGTATAAGAGAATGGTGGCAATCATTTAGTCAATGACTTGATAAATATTCTTATAAAAGAGTCATTAGAGTTTTCTCAGATCCAGAAAGTCCTACGTCCAGTCCATTGAGCGAGACAGCAACAGAATAATAACAACTGCTTCAGCCGTCATGCAGTCTACGACAGATTTATCATGAAAACTATCTTGAGCTTCAAAGCATTCGGTTGCCTTTGGTAAAAATAATTGAACTGACTTAAAGTAAATTATCTTTAAAAAATTGTTAAAGACAGCTCCGATATTTTGGTCAACGCGTTTCCTTAATCATGCTCAGCTGTAAGGCCTAGGGGGATACTAATGACAGTAACGTTTATCCTAACATCATACGCCCGAGGGAGAAACAGCAACAGCCGACATTATAGATCATATACAACCCCATATACTTAGTTTCGGCTTTTTCTCTTTTTTTTTTTTAGTTTCGGGTTATAGTCAGTAGAGCTTTCCCGAATTGAAAAAAAATTTACGACATAAACTATAGTGACTGATACCTGCAGATATGTAGTTTTTGAAGAAATAAATTCATTAATGAAATGTATAAGCGTAGTTTCTGTAGTTTCTTTGTTTCTTTTTCATATGAAAAACAAACCCTGCCGAATTAAGAGAGATTTTGTAAATTGACTCAATTTTCTGTATTTTTTWAAATATTTTTTAATGTTTTAGACCTTTTATAAGTAACTGAACCCTGTCGTTATGAAATATGTCATAATCATTGTCATTTTAGTTTTTTAAACAATCTTTTGTAAATTAAACTATAGTTTTTGTTAAGAATGATTTTAAAGTGGACCCGGTATGCACCTTCATGGAACGATATTGATTTTTTCTATGTTTCTGTATCTTATTTTAAGAATATATTTGCAGTAACTAAAAATCCATCATTATGGCTATCAAACATGTTTACAGTCTATTCTCCACTCAAAAAGCTTGTTTAATGATTTTGAAAAAAAATATTGCAATCAGCGTGGCGTATGTGTTTCGAATCGGACCTTTTAGAAAGAAGTTTTGTTTTGGTATTTTCATGTGTTATAATCAATAAAAATTTAAAGGAAACAACTAGAAAAGATTGTGTA